GTGTGTGTGTGTGTGCTGATAAGCCTGAGTGGTCTGTTGACTGACCTTTTGTATTTGTTCAAATAATTGTTATGGACAGGCTACAATATAAAAATGTTTGTCATAATCACGTCTTGTGATTATTTGACAGGAGTTTTACTTTTAAACTGTAAGTGTATTTAATTTAGTTATGTTAGTTATGATGTAAATACAATAAAAAATTAAACGAAGATTTAGAATAATTATCATTTTGATCCATACATTGGTAACGTCTGACTGGGCCTCGTGCCACTTTATGTTCAATAAATTGGGCCCCGAGGTCAAAAAGGTTAAGAACCCCTGACGTAGAAGGTACGAATAGAAAAACAAAAGACAAAAAGTCTGAACATCCAAAATATAAACATAAAGAGAAAATGAGCTGACAGCAAAAGGTTTACTGGAGGTTTGCCTCCATGAAACAAGTGAAACAACAATAAAACCCTGCTATGGAGCGAATAATCAGCTGATGTGTGAACGTGGCTGGTCTACTGAATTAAATAAAATAGGTTTAGCTTTTATTGTCCCTTAATGAGTTTATTGAGGGAAAGTGAGAGGTTAGATTTTCCAAAATTATTTTTGTTGGGAGGTGACCCCCCCCCCCCCCCAAAAAAAAAAAAAAAAATTCCAAAGGCTGAAGTGACTGTGATGTCATATTGAAATGTTAATAGTAAAGAAATTAGGATGCACCGTCGGGATAGGAATGAAAAGTTAAATTTGTCTGAAGTACTTATATCACAGCCTGTTTACTAAAGTGGCTTAAAGTATTTATTTATTTACAAAATAATAAACAAAACATCCATATCTCCTTTGGGAATTACCACCTAATTTGAAACATTTTAAGTGTTTCATAGATACTCGACTGATCTTAATATCTGTTTAGATCAGTAACATTCAGAGAACAGGATGTTTACTCATCTGTAGAGGAGAAATAATAAATCATGTCAGTCTTTGTGCTGAAGGAAGAAATTCACTGGTTTCAGTTTTGTTATTCAACTTGAACAAAATAAAACCTGATTTGCATCAGACTCTTTGACTTCCGTGCTGAACGCTTTCCCCATTATTTTTGAGTGATTCAGACAAACTACTAATGTTTAAATTGAACAAAAGCTAAAATTGAAGCAAGGTTATATATAATAAAAATAACCTTGTGCTTCTGATCATTTAAGCTCCTGAAAGAGGAACCTCTGTGAAACTGTTTAAATTCCACAGTGTTGTAATTTGCACAAAGTGAAATGAAACCCTCAGTGGTAATAGTAACATTTATTTATGCCTCAATGTTAAAATGCATTGCCACAAAAACATTTAATACACATAAAGATGAACTTTACATAACTATAAATAGATTTTTTATTCATTAACAAGATAAGCGCTTATGAATAACATAAAATGGCCAAAAATCATGCAACATAGCAAAATATATCTGGCCCAGCTCTGGTCCAAACAATGTAATACTTGGCCCAGATACTGCAAAGAATGACGCCCCTTTGGTGGCCCGGATTTGCCAGACGTGGTCCATGCATGGGTCAGCATCCACGTAAACCAAACCACATGGCACAGGTCAGTTGTGGCATGGGCAGATTTGGGCCATGTAAACCAAATCACAAGCAAACAAACAAAAAACCAAAAAAAAAAAAAAAACAGTGCCATCGTTGCCAGAGCTGGCTAACAAACAGTTGACAAAACACGTGCGGTACCAGCAGTACCAGATTGAGACCAGATCTAGTTCACACATGTCTGTTGTGTGAGATGAGATCAAAAGCTTCACACAGACAGCTGCAACAATGTTTACATGTGATGAAACACTGTGGTGTAAGTAACGTCCGTATCTTCACCTTTGCTTTGCTGAAAGAAAAACAACGTAAAAAAAAGATAAACAAGGACAGTAATGAAGTTCATCAAATTAGTTTTCTATCTATTAATTGACCAAACACTAGACTTGGTTGAATGGTAAGTTT